TCTTTCTCTCTCTCTCTCTCCCTCTCTCTCTCTCCCCTTTCAGTCCTTAACTAACTAACTCACACACAGTTGCGAATAATTTTTGTTTTTTGCAATTATAACTTATAGATTCATTTTTCACAGTTAAACCCACTTCATGGGTTGGAAAAACTAATCTCCACTAATATATTAATAATTATTTTGAATGCAATTATGGAAACTAAATCATCTTTGGATGACATTTACTGCATAAATGAATTTTAGTTCATATTATATCTCTAACCAATTGATCCCATAATAAGTTGAGAAAGAAATCACATTTGATTACAGATGCAAACCTATGTATAGTTATGTATACATAAAGTTCATGAGAATATTTGTGTTTTACATACATTATTGCAAACAAATAAACAATAGATTCTTTGTACGAATCAGACAATTTCGAAATTATTCAAAATGTTTATTCACACAAATGTCATCAATTAAGGAATATTGTGATAAGTATTTGAAAGCAAACATTAAACATATCAGTAAACTATTTTTTCTGATAAAACAATATCAGAAAGTTATTATAAATTCATGAATATATTTGCATTGCTTAAATAAACATAAGTTAATTTCTTAAATTGAGTTTACTACTGTAGTATCATTATAGACTGTGTTAACTATACAGTATACCATTATATGTATTGGGTAATATTGGGTAATATTGGGTAATATTATAAATTCAAATGATACTAAACCTTAAATCATTTGAAACTAATCTACATATTCATAAAATCCAATAAAATACTAAACATTGGGAACAATATTTGCAAATTATTTTATTGATGAAAATATTATACAAGAATGACATCACTTAACATAATCACTCTATTATAACAATTGGAAATTACATTCATTTTAACACTATTTTACTTATTTGTCTATTCAATAGATAGATGTACAGTATAAATTGGATTTTTTTGATGACAATTAACTAGCTTACAAGTTAGTATTTCAAATAGATAACATTTTAGAAATAATTGATTTTAGATGTGGTTTTTTAATTTCAAGTAAATATGTGGTAAATTAAGTATAAAACAATCAACTTTAATTTGCTTTTAATGTAATCATCAACAAAACATATAATGTAGTGAAAATATTACAATTTCAAATAATTGACAATAAATATATAAAAATATTAAACAATTTGAAATATATGATACAAAATACATAAATCATTTAAATATGGCAACAAAAATGAATCATTTTGAGTCTCTAATCGATTTGAATGACTTCAATATTCTCCTTTGTCTTAGACTTCTTCGGTGGCAAAGGCTTTGAATCTGTTTTCGTTGTCACTGTTGAAGGCTTAGTACTTTTTGAAGCCATTTGACCACCAGTTCTACCGCTTCCCAACACACGTCCCTTTCCACTGAATGGTAGGACAGGCTTTCCATCACTCGTCACCACTTTCATCGACTCATTTGTATAATAATTACCACAACCGGCCACTGGTTTAGTCTCTGTCTTAATGGCACCCAATCTGTGTCCCACACCAGAGAAGGGATTCTTATCATTGCTGGCACTGGCAGTGCTATCACTGGTGGCACCGGCTGTCCACACATTGGGAGTCAAATAACTTCTAATGTCTTTGTTCTTGAGTTTCTCGGGAGTCATATCAACGCCTTGAATGGGCTTATTGTTGGCCTTCTTAGGCGGCGGTTCCGATATCTTCGCGAACTTTCCGCCACAACTCTGCGCGTGAAATGGGAACCAATAGTCTGTGGGACCGGGCGGTCGGTTCATCGCGCGCCTAACGTAACCGAAATACGGCGCTCGCGAACGACAGGCGCCGTCACACCTCCACACGTGTTGTTGATAGTGATGGACCTCACCGTGAAAACTGTGGTAAACCGTGATATCGGCGCCGGACATACGGTTTATGCGATGCATGTGTTCGTGAAACTTCTGGCCATGACTTTCGTGATTATCATCTATGCGTGAGTCAAGCCATACAGACATGGATTAAATGCAATTATATGTGCAATGGTTGTCAACAGATAAGGCATACCTTCGCGGGTGACAAACAGCAAGGCGTGTATCATCTCATGGATCAGTGTTTCGACCAAATCTTTGCGAGATCTCAGTTGCAGTAAAGGCAGTGACAGTCGGATGTAACAGAAACTGATGGACAACACAAAGACACGTCTCAATGACAACATAACTCATGAGGAGTGGCACTGAATGGCATACTTCGTGGTGGGACTCCAGCCGCAGAGGCCGGCCGTTGAGGTCATCCGCGAACTCCACGACAACTCAATGCAGTGTTTGGCCAAAACGGAGCCGAAGAACATGCGGTCAAAAGTGCTCATCAGATCCCATATGTTTGGGTTGGGGTCCGACAGTTCCAACTCTGGACTCACTATGTCTTTGGGAGCGACAGCCGTACCATTAGATCCCAGGTCTTCGTCAAACAAATGAGCGCTGAAGTCATCATCACTTTGTGGACCAGTTGTGTGACTCTGAGTGCTATGCGAGCGAGAGTTGAACTCATCCTCAATGGCCTGAAGACTCAATGCCAACAAATAGTCATCAGTGATGTCTTGTATGATGTCCTCTGCGAAGGGATCCGTTGCGGACATTGTCATCGACTATAAGACATACTTCAAGACACCCGAAGTGGCAATGAATTGACAATTTGTGACCAATTTTTGAATGAATCACTCAAACAGTGCTTTCACTCATCACTCGTGAGATGTCGTTACAAACGAGTCATACGTTTAACTGTTTGTCGCCAAAACTTTGGACAACTTTTGTCGCAAAGTTTTAGAGATTTGATTCAATATTTTCTCTCAATTTGATTATCAATTTATAAATTCGTGTTCATCTATGAAATCTTACGAATTGCTTTTATGATAGATCGATACAAACAAATTGTTAGTATATAATACTTTGTTATCAATAGTATAGTCATAACTGTCACTTTTAGTCCTGTTATCATAGTAAGCAAAATATGATACAGTAATTATCGCAATCATGCATTCAAAGTTTTTAATGAAACCCCTTTGAAACATATGATATGCCGGAATACCGGTTCCATAATCCAGCACAGGTATGTGGTCAATACGATTGGCATATTGGGAGGCAATACAACCAAGCCATTGTAGTTCAGTGGACAAACACTGCAACCCATCATTATATGCAATAGCCAACATCTTCACATCAGTTATAGCCAACTGTCCACCGCTTATCCTACGGTCAATCATACCGGTGATAGACTCCTGTCCCGTAAACTCGCACTGTCTCTGAGCGTCCAGTCTTTGGGCCAATAGATTGACTTTTGAGTCATTTGGCCGAAGACTTAGATCTCGGAGCTGTTGTGGGCAGTCATTGACGAGCACTCTATCCTTTCTGTTATCATATGAAGTGACACAACAGTTGTCACCAATTGGTTTCAAATCCATTCTTTTGTCTCTCTTTTCTTTTCTCTTAATAATGAAATGAGTTTTGTATTAGTTTTACGTATAATTCACAAAATGATAACAAGTATACCATTTGTTCCCACGGCCTGAATAGTTTGAACTTCAAACTATTCAAGTATTCTGTATACATTTAAAATAAGCAAGGTTATACACAATAACTTATTATTATATTATTAATATTACAATTTATAAGACATTGAGTTATAAGAGAACTGAAAAAGTTGTAGTATTCACATGATTATAGAATTACGGTAAGTGTATAATTTGTGATACAATTTGCAAATTTGGCACTAATGGAAACTTATTAGTAAAAAGTTATGACTTACTCCTCATCTTCATCTCTCTTTGGAGTCTCTCTTTTTTAATAGCCGCCAAAACATGTCTTTTCTGATCAATTAGACCACATTTATAGTCTATGCATTCTTTGTAACCACATTCCCCTTTATGTCCTATAAATTGCATTTAATTATTATAATTCTGTACACAATCATTTATAAGTTATACATATAGACTATTTGAACTATCACTGTACTGTACAGTACTGCATATAAATAAGTTACATTAGACTGCCTTCAAAGCAAGTTAACAAAAGCGCGATCTAGCAGCAGATATTGGCATAACTAAAGTGTGATTATTATAATAAGGAAATTTTAATTAACTATAAGAGTTGTGATAAAAGTTTACAACTTTTAATTTAAATGATTATCAATTATATAATTATTTAATAATTTATTAAATCACATTCATTTGTTTTATATTATAATGACTTATGTGTTGGACATTGAATTGTGTTTTTTGTGTTCCTATCATATCAATTGACTATTAAAACACAAAATGAATGCAAACACTGGGCTTTAAATATAACTAAAATAATAGTTTTGCATAAATTCTCTAAAATATAATTTTAGGCAATACTTAAACGTAATTAATAATTATAATTATCGAAATAATACAGTAATAATTAATAATAATAAACACTGAAAAATGAACAAAAAATAGTCATTTGTCTTATATTTAACAACAATTATAAGGCACTGAATAATAGCATAACATTGACGACACAAACAGACATTCATACAAAATATGATTGATTCAGGCATTGATTTTGTGGACATTTATGTCAAGACTAGGGTTTAGGAGACGAGTCAACGAGAGACACTTCCACACCACTGATTGGTATCAATGCGTACGCTAGAGATAATCAAACACTTAAAATCCTAAACCTTTTCACAATTCATTCAGACATACCAGTGATTAGTACATAATTGGAATCTTATTTTCACATCTTTCTAGATATGATTCCATATGTTTCACATAATGTCCAAAATATTCTTGTGGGATATTATCGCAACAGTTGTGTAGATGTTCTTCAAGTTCTTCATCTGTTTTTGCGCCACAACTATACACAAAAATAATAATTATTGATGTAAAATTCATTTAATTTATTTATTCAGAATATTAAGCATGAAAATATACAGTTAACTAACCTTCTAGTAGATCTTTTCCATAAGCTAAAGACCTCTTCGATTGGGTTCAAAAACGGAGAATATGGCGACAAAAATATCGGGTTATATTTGAATTTAAGGAACAAATCCTTAATATTCACGTGTTTATGAAAACTACAAAACAAATCAGGGTTCATGCTAATATTCTCTGTATCGTTCCAATTTTAGTATACATACCTAACATTATCCATTACAATATTAGCTTCTCTGACACCAATGTTATATATCGTCTCAAAAAATGTATTTAAATATCTATAAAAATCTTTTGCATTAAAAGATTTTTGTTGATATTCGTAATAAAATATGCAATCAGATGACATTGCGGCACAAACAGAAATATTAAGACTTCGTAACCTTTTGACAACAATAACAGCTCTATCTCCCCGTTTAGCATAACCATAGGTTGGACGGGCAAACACTTGATGTCCAAACTCATCAACCCAAAATAACTTTTCTTTTTGGTGTTTGATTTGGTTATATTTTAGGGCAAATTGACGACGAAGTTCAATTGTCCTAGGACTATTTCTGTCCTCCGGGACCTGAAATAAAAATTGTAATTATTCACCTTGAACGAGGAAAGTTATGTTATACAACCTTAGTTATACGTTTATGCGTATATTCAGTCTCTCTCAAAAATGAAAATATAGGTTTTTCTGATTTCATTTGAATGGTCTTATATTTATTAATAATATTTGTTCTCAATTGGTTTTGTGTGATATAACTTTTCTGTTGTATCCATTTGTGTAAATCCTTTTTATGCGATTCATTCAATAATCGTTCCCGAGGTTTCGGTTTACCTTTATATTTAAAAATATATTTGATTACATTTTGACTTACGAGTTATATAAATCTTAAAAACAATAATTTTCAATAAAATTCTGTGAGAATCCACAATAGAATCTGTAAAGACAACAATTGCTCCAATCGTTAAGAATATAACTTCTGATAGGAAACAAGTGTCAAAAAAGACAACGACAGAGATTGAAGTGAAGACAACCACTGAAATCCCATTAGTATCGAGTGAATCACCGCAAACCACATCTTCTGAACCGGAAATATTTACAAAAATTCCCCAAAAACTAACCACAAAGACCACAAAGCATTAGTGACCGATATTCCAGTCATTACGACAGAAAGAAGTGATGAAACCATTGCAACAAAAGCTCAAGAATTTATGACTAGTACATCACCAACAAGTAATGAATCGATAAAATTATACCAGATATACTATACTCGACCACAACTGAGCCCAAGATTTCAGACATTTCTATAGAAGACACGACAACTCGTAAATCAGTTTAAAGTGAAACACCAGAAGTGACAACAGTTTTACAAACGGTGACCACAAAGAAGAGTGAAGTCATGACTGATATTCCTTTGATTACAACACAAACAAGCGCTGAACTACTCGCTACAAAGGCTCAAGAAATTATTACAAGTACTTCTCAAATAAGAAGTGAATCAACAAAATTGTCAACAAAAGGATTACCGGAAACAACAACTCAATCGCAAACAATTATTCCCGAAATCAAGATAGTCGACGAAAACAACAAAATAATTAGCATACCTTTAATTATGCGTCCAGTTCTTTTGTATGTTAAATACATTGTTTGGACTGTTTTCGGAGGCATTGAGAATAGTTCTGCGACAGTATTGTAATGCACTCCTCTCTGAACCATTTCTATTATTATCCGTCTTTTGTCGTTACAGTATTTGTTTTGCGGTTTGCGTGTGATTTGTTTTTGTTGAACTTCTTGTACAACAGGTGTGAAATTAACTTCAGTTTTAATTTCTATAAATAAAAAATATAGTGTAAAACTTTGTTTTGGAATTCAGTCCTATATTTGGTAGAAATTCTTGGAATAAATTACAGAATATTTAATGTTTTGTTTTGAAAAACATTTACTTTAAATAAGAAATAAAAAATCCATTAATTCTCTAATTATTAACACAAATAGTCTGAATGCAAACCAATAATCAATTTTAAAGTTTTAAACTAAAATTACCTGTGTTATCATCGAGTGTCTCAATTCTTGTAATTTGAGTTGTGAGCTCTCGTTGTATAATTGGTATATTGATTGGATTTCGTTTAGAATATGTTTTAAACGAATTGTGCAATTGATTAACGTTTGATTCAATCGTGTCGTTGAAGACCGTTGTGTTGTTGACAGCAGTCGTGTTATTCATTGTCTTATTATTCCTCAACTTCTTCATAATAGTCATTGGAGTGAATGGCAAGCCGTTGGGACTGTTGTCCAGTACTGTGCGCTCCAAGTACCCCGGTATATAACTCTTGCGGCCAACTGATCGCATAGTCCTCTCGTGTATCGGAGTCTTCTGTTTTACGGATCCGTTCACTGATTCTGTAATTATAAACAATATTAGGATTTATAATAAACTCATAAATCAAAACTAATTCAAACCGAAACTCACTTCTAATGACAGTCGAGGGCTTCGGAATCTCAGTTGATCTGCCGATTGGTGTCAGCGTTTGGTTCATCAAAATGTTTTGCAGTGGTCTTAGTGCTGGACGTGTAGTGCACTTTGACAAACGTGACCCACAGTTGGCATTTGGGGTGTTTTCTGTGTCAGTCTCCTGCCACGACTCGATGTAGTACTCGACGTCGTTCTTAATCTTCTTGATCTGATCCACTTCTACGGTCTCGTTGTCCAACATCCGCATCAGTGTCTCCAACTGTTTGATGTGATACCTGTGCTTCTCGACCCACCCCTTCAGCTCATCGATGCGGTCCTGATTTAGTTCACAAATTTTTTCAAACTTTTTGCTCTTTTTCTGCGCCAAAAGTAACTCAAACGACTCCGACTCGAACTGATCCAACTGTAGATACAGAGTTGAAAGACATGAGTAGATCCAGTTCTCGTCTACTCTTTGACCGCCATTTGAAGAACTGGCCGCTAAGATACTTTTACAATAGGAACCGGTATTGAGCTCATCGTTGGCGGCGCCCTCCCACTCGCACCGGAACTGCTTCTCAGTGCTGTGGATGCGTTTGTGCTCTTTAATGCTTCCCGGATCTGAACAACTGTTGCATCAGTCAAGACATACACCCATAAAAACACACTCATGAGTTACCACCAATCGATACACACCTGTATAGGCAGGCCTCGAAGTCGCACCGGTAGGGCTTCTCTCCCGTGTGAATGCGATAGTGTTTCTGAAAATTGCCGGAACTGTCGGTCGCGTATTCGCAGCCATTCCACGGACCCCGGAACCGCTTCACGCTGGGGGTCACGTCCGCTGGAGATGTCGTATCTATGGTTAAGAAAACATGCGTTAAATAAGTTTTAAACACAACAATCACTGGTTTACCACTCGTTGGCAAACAGATAACGACAACTAAACTAAGAGATAATTGGCTCAAAATCAACACAAAATCTTACGACACCTTTGGATCTCTTATTCCTCTGCCGCCGAACGCCACCCAAGTCTTCAGCGGTCGCTAAGACACTGTTACTATAGAAACCGGTATTGAGCTCATCGTTGGCGGCGCCAGAACCCGACGGCCGCAACAAATATATGCCATCAGTGGACGCACTGCTCAGCGTCTGATCCACAGAGCTGTCCGTGTTGTCGTTGTCGTCATCGGCGGCACTGATATCGTCATCATTGGTGTCGTCGACGGCAGCGCTATACTCGTCGACCGACGACTGGTTGTGATTCACACCCAATTGGTCATCGCTGGCGATCATGGCGTCGATGCTGTCGTCGGCAGCCATAATGGCGTGGCTCGTGTCCACGTCTTCGGCGTCCACCTCCTCGTCGAACTCCACGCGATTCAGGAGACACTTGAGGTGACAGTAGTCCTCATCCAGACATTGCAGTTCCCGTTCGAATGGCACCAATTGGTCGCTGCGGATGCCGTTCAACTGAGTGGTCATTATGAGGACCTTTTGCTCCAACGATGTCTTAATTGTCTCCAATGTCTCCAGAAGTCTCTTCAGCAGTCGATTACTACTCGTGAGGGACTCGTTCTCAGACTCCAAGAGCTGATTGTTGTCCACGAGTTGATCGTACGACTGCTTCAGCGACTGATAGGACTCGTAGTCTATAATGCAGTCCATTGTTATTAATATTTATTTAATTAAAACATTTTTAAAAATTACATAATTAACAAATAAATCAAAACAAACACTTATCCAATATAAGAGTTGATTTTATTGTAAGATTTACAGTCAAAAAAGTTTTCTAATGTTTGAGTTTACAATAAAAATCTACCAGGGTTGCGCCACAAGCGCACTTGCTTTGAAAGCAGTCCAATGTATAATGTAATTGTGAACTAAATACAAGGACTTTTTGCATATTCTTTCAGTAATTATTCTAATATTTATAATTAGTGAACACAAAGATTATATTTTATTATTACTACAATAATATCAAAATTTAAATCATCTATAGTTTCAAATTAGAAATATTTTTTACAAAATGATTTGAAAAATTGCTTATTAAAAATTTCATGAAAGAATATTCTGGTCATGTGATACATGATAACCATTCCTTTATAATTTAGGAAATAAATTATTTCAAAATATTAAAGGGTGTTAAAATTCTAAGCAAAACCTTCATATCATTACTTCAAACTACCCTGTATAAAGATAGTTTGAAAAATTTCCTAAAATCTATTATTAATTCGACTTTTAATTCATTGAAACTGAAAAATATTTCTGATATTTTCAAATATAAATAATATTACCAATTATAATTAATTAAATTGTATTTAACTATTATTAAGGCTTAATATTAAACTGTATGTGAATTTAGACTGATTTACTATGTGTTATATGTTTCAATGTATATCATGAACTAATGTTTAGTATGAACCAAATGCCTTGGCACAACCTACTTCATGGTATTCATGATTCACTGTATGCTCAATGTACAGTATATACTACTTTGGCCAAATCTACCTGGGACAAGAAAAAGTTAAATAATTTTTTAATGGATAATCCAATTTTTAATCTGTTTTCACCAAAATGTAGCTGGATAATTAAGTAATCAAATGGTATAGTATTTCCTATATTAATTCATCGGGATAAAGTAATAATTTAATTTCAA